TAGCTCATGTTTTCAGTCTATCTTATTTACAAATAAATGCTTTTAAAGTTGTAATGTCCCCTGGATGTGTTACTTCAGAATCATTTCTGAACCGGAAAAAGAAAATTTGTGCTCACCTATATAAAAGATTTCAAAAAATAAGCCTTAATTTATCATTTAAAAATCTCAGAATATTTAAAATTAAACAAAAGCAGAAAGCAGAAATGTGTGAGTGCAGATACCCAGTTTGTTCATAGTCCATGTCTGCATCCCCTTTTATGTACTGAGGTACCGAATGCACAAATCACCACAGAAAATTGAACAGAGCACATATAAACCATTTCTGAAACTTGTGGACCACAGTGATTTTCACATTCACCAGTGAATGTCTCTAACCCCAAATTAAAGTCACACGGAAAATGAATTTCAAAGTGAGAATTTTCACAATACATGATATAGATTGATTTTTCCTTTAATCTTTCTAAAATTCTTCCTTATCACTTGCTCCTGCCTATGATGAAACACATTGTGTGTTGATGTAGCTAAGTCTGTTGTAAGAAGAAATTTTCTTCCCCTTGGTTTTCACTGGAATTGTGATCCTAAAATAATGATACAAGTTCTCTTTTAATCTTTCTTTCTAGAACTGAGAAATTTCCTATAAACTTGCAGCTCACTGTGCACTTGGTCAGTTAAAAGTCCTCTGAAGTGTGAATAAGAAAAAGATTTTGTAGAAAGGGCACCAGAAACCATTAAAATAATTAATAATTCATAATTAAATCATTATAAGAAGTAAACAAATATTTTTAAATGTGATGATCCAATGATGTGTTAAAACTTCTGTCATTTACGAAGCTGACTATAGCCATCTGGTCACATTGCCTGTATTTCCTTCAAAAAAATAATATTTTATATGGCATTAAAAAGTTAAGAATAAAATTAGATTTAATTAATAAATTTAAAAATCGTCAAACACTAATTTACACACTTTTACTATTCAACACAATTTTAAAGTATCTCATCTTCCACTTGATCAAATTGCTTTTATATCAGGAAATGGAAACAGGTAGGGTTGGGCATAATACCCAGCACCTTACATGTTTTCACAAATGAAGCAGCTTTGTCATCATTCACTTATCCACTTCCCTGGTCTGCCTACTAATTCTGACAATATGCTCAACGCCTTCCAATTGAGAAATCACAGGAAGTTTATATATCAACTTGTATTTTCTTCTAAATTCAATTATATACCTGCCTCACATTTGATTTTTTTTTTTTTTTTTTTTTTGAGGAGAATCTCAGTAGTGGAATTACTATCCTCTAAACTTGAGCCCAAACTTTTGTGGCCAAAACAGAGTGTTTAAGAAACCAACAGGAATGTGTCTTAGGAGACAAAAAAGCTCTATGTTTATTCCATGTTAAGGATGATAAAGCCCATCAATGGGGAAAAGAAGAAATAATCTTCAAAGGTTTTATGTAGCATAACTTGGTAACCAAAAAAGCTGGGAAAGAAGGGCTTGAAAGGTTTCTGAAGTTTGACTCTGGGTGATGAAATATAGCCATCAAAACATAAACAAACTTGGGAAAAGACATTATTTATTATTGTTTAAATACCTGGAGACACAGCTGCTTCTCATATATTTTGGAACATATTTCAGTAAATATGTTTATGATACAAATAGTAAAAGCTGAACATGCATTGAATGGATGAATGAATGAATGAATGAATAAAATTTATTGTGTCAGGAGGAACACCATGAAAAATATTTTCCTTTTTGATAATTTAACTGTCATTGCAGCAACATTTTATGGTTTTTTAAATGCTGGTATTAGACAGTCTTTTCAACTAAATGAAAACCCTGAGAGTATGTCTTTTTCTCTTCATTTAACTAAAGAAAACAATGAAGACCAGGGAGCCTTTCCAAAGTTACTCACTTACCCAGCAGCAGAACCAGCACTTAGAGTTCTGATCGATGGTTTGTTAGAAATATATGGGAAGAGTCCAGAGGAAGGATTTATCCAGATGTCATAGTTAAAAAGGAAGACAGCGAGAAAATTTAACAGAATGAAGACACTATGGAAAAAGCAAAAGGGCAAGAAACCACTTTTAAAGAATAGAGGAAACGGAGGGACATGAAGAGGAATGTTGCAAGTAAGAGTAGAAATCAGCCAAGAGTCTCCTGAGATCCCTGTTCTTTAGAGAGGAAGTTTCAGTCACAAACAAAAGAAAATCCCACATTTTGGCTGAAGCAATAACGGGTCTGACATAACTAAGAAGTCAGGGACACTCAGGCTTTAGTTAGAATTTAATCTGGACTCTTCTGTGGGTATGTCGTTTCTGTCTTTTTAAAAATATTTTGCTGTTGCAGTTATTCTTGGCTTTATTGGGGGGGGTGAAATTGACAAATGAAATTTTATATCTTTAAAGTCTACAACTTGATGTTTAGATTTATTTATCTGTTGTGAAGTGATTACCACAATCAAGCTAATTAACATGTCCATCACCACACAGTTACTTTTTCCTTTTTTTTTTTTTTTGCTGTTGTTGTAAGAACATTTAGGATCTACCCACTTAATAAGTTTCAGGTATAAAATTTCTCTATCTTCTTGCATGTAGGACATCCTCCACAGTTTACTTTCTGGTGTTTGAAAAATAGCTTTAATTGTTTCAAGCTTCATACCCCACACCATAACATCCAGAACAACAACAAAAAAAGAGCATCTCTTTCCCCCATCATGAAGTACAAGAATCAGACTTCATATAAACTGTGCCACCTTAGCGCAGATGCCTAGCCCTGAACCATCACTCTGAGCAAGAATAAGTGGAATCTGTATGATGATTTGGCTTAAATTATAGGTTACCTGTCTGTCCTTTACTCTATGACATTGTCAAAGATGCTTTCTCATGATTGCCTTAGGCTGATCAGAGTCCAAAACTACAGATGAGAGTGTAGTCAGCCAACCAAAAACCATATGGCTGCTTCCAAGGGTGACAAGGTAAATTGGAACCTAGAAAAATAACCAACCAATCTAATCCAGACAGGAAGATTGCTGTGGTCCCACTGTCTGCTCTTCCACATTCCATTTTCACCTTTTCCTCCTTTCCCATCTCAACTTTATTTTGCAAACATTTCTACATGTGCGGCTGCTACTACCTGTATTAGATTCATCTGGATGTTCTCCTTGCCCTGAGCCCCTTCTCTCAATTCCCTAAACAAACTGGAGCCAAGTCCCTTTCCCCTAGTTCAATCCAAATAAGTTGCTATACTAAGAAATTAAGAGAGATGCAACAAGCAATGAAAACAATAAACTGTGAAATCATTTTAGAAGAGTAGAATTTTCAAGCTCAGAGGACAGTGATGATCTTTCTCTCCCCACTACTTTATACTCAGTATGTTCCTACTGCATAACGAGTAATGAAGAATTATTTGCAGAATTAATTAGTGAATTCTAAAGTAATTGAAGTCTAGTCATGGATATCTCAATTCACACTGCCATTTGTGCTTATTGACCAGAAAGTGTCAAACTTCACTCCTCACAAATTCTAGATTTGTGAATTTACCTACCTGATAAAATTGAATTGTAACCTCAAAATCAATACTTATTATGTTTTCACCTTCATTCATGACCTGTTCAGAGTGGCACAAAATTTGAGTCAGCCCCTCACAAGAAGCCCCTCAACTTCCTGCT